CTCTCTCTCTCTCTCTCTCTCTCTCTCTCTCTCTCTCTCTCTCTCTCACACGAAGCAATTTGCAGCAGGTCATCGCAGTGTTTACCAAATCTATTCTTCCAAAGTAACTTGATCATTAGAAACTTAATTTTTATTTATGAGCGCATATTTGCATTCCAAGAAAGTATAATATGCGAAAGTTCAGTGTGCCTTCCTTCCCTCCATAAGTACTTCATGTACATAAAAACAAGTACGATAATTATATTCTTTCATGACTGAATCTCTTATACCCACCATAGCATTCATAAAAAATGCTTTAAAAAAATGCAAGCAAACTATATCTTCGTAGACTCTAACGTGGGGTAGTGTTCTATATTCGGAATAAATGTTAAAATTAATATCGTTTTTATGTTGTAGTCTGTGGGTAACGAACAGAAATCACGAAAAGCAAAGCTGTTTTCATTTTTTTCCCCGCATAGGCGTTTGGGTGCTGTAGGTATAACCTTTGACAAGTTAGCAAACGGACAGTTGGATTCCAAACTTGAAAATGGGCCAAGAAATTATATACATATAGTTTATGGGGTTTGTGAACAGTAGCATCGTCAATGGGATATGCGTTTAAGCTTTTGCTACGGATTATGATCAAAAGCCATTTTTTCCCCTTTTGAGCAACAGAAGTATCCTCACTTTATGTAGAACTGCAGGCGTGACCTTCGACCGACTTGGTCCATATTCAATACGAAATTGTGTGCAAGAACTTCCAATGTTTCTGCCAAATTTGGCATTACATAAACGAACAAACGACCAGACGGACATATCCAAATCGGTTCAGAATTTGATACTGATCAAGAATATACATAAACAAAATAATAGGTTCAACTACTACGATAATTGAAGAATCAGTTATTCCACTTAAGGCTTTTGATTTACAAAATTCTTGATATTATTTGATCAGACTCTATCAGATCTATATAAAGCTTCGAGCGCCTGAAATCACTTGCCCTAAGTCATACAATTTCTTTATCGGCATAAATGACAATCTTTTTAGTTTCAGAAATATCTTTACCTGGGATCATTACGAAGGTTGAACGTAAATATGTGAGCTGGTCGATGTGAATGCGTTATAAAATATAATTTATTATCCCATAGGATATTCAAAGTGCAAATAGCGTTTTTCATGTAACAGAGTATCCATTCTTGGGAAGAGGACAAATTATCCAATTTTGCTAAACTTCAAGAAGTGGACGTTTACAAGTAGACTGCCATTTGTCGTACCAAACTTCTTCATATTCGTAAACTTTTCCAGCTAATATTGAAGACATATATGCATTGAAGCGCGAGTATTTTTATTAAAAATGAAAATAATATTTTAATACATGCGTGCATGTGCGTGGCCAATCTTCCGAGATTCATTTATAATTTATGTAAGTTGAATCACTAACTCAATTTTTTATTACGAGTTGTTAAGCGAAAGCTTGCCGAACTAATTTATCCTACCAAATTCTTTCTTTTATAAGTTATTTACTGCTTTCTAGTTTCATCACCCAATTAGACGGTTATGTCAAACTTTTGAAATGTTTTCAAAGACAATTTTCACATGAGAAATTTGTGCCAAATTCGTCCTCGCTACTTATTAGCAAATACAAGAATATTTGGTTAACTTTTTCCATTTCGTTCCATTACATTGTTGCGCGTTTGCAAGACACGAACCGTTTTGCCGAAGGCTTTGCATTTCAACAGAGTTGATTCTTTGTTTAACGAGATGAACCTTTGTTTTCTGTTAAGTTGCGCGTTTAACATAGTTGATTGGCGTTACCATTCAAGTTGTTAGTTGGGCACTCAACCATTTATATATATTATAAGTGACTCTGTGCTTTGCCTTTCAACAGGGAATTTAGCGAGGGCGTTGTTTAAAAATTATGACGGTTTAATTCTAAGCTAACTTGTAAAATACAAGAAATTTTAAATGTTCGATATTAACCTTTGACACATTCAATTAGGTAAAAATCTTCACACTTTCAAGCATGTAAGACATTGAGAATCTATGACTAAGAAAATAGGATTACGATCATTTAAAGTCTCTGAAGGGCTAGTCAGCAAACATTGTACGAATATATGTGTACTAGTTATACATTTTAACTCACCTCTCTCTCCATAGGTATTATGCATGCACTGGCACGACATTGAGTGAAAATTTCGCGTCAAAATAGTGGACGTTCCAATTTTGTATGTGTTCAATTATTACAAACATTCATTATATATTGTTTTTGAAAACTTTGAGTTTAAAATTAAACGCTCATACTATACATTATTTTTATAACGAGCTACGTAATGTAATAAGAGAAGCAAATGATAAATTAAATTCATATATGTATATATATAAATATATATATATATATATTCTTAACTCTTAGCATAGAAACAATTTTCCTTTATAATTCCAACCAAATCGTTATTAGAATAATCTTGTAGAGTCCTAACTCACCTGTTGTTCTCCCCCTTGCTAACGTTTTTATTTCTATTATAGGTGATTTGGGTATCGAAAAATGGAACGAATTAAACACCAACGATATGTTAATAACGAAACAAGTAAAGAAACCAACATTTTTACCCGATACTGGATGTATGGAACAATAATTGTCTGTTGAACAAGACGTCTAGAGCAGCAAATTTTCCTTCAACTTTGCTAACATTTACTGGAAGCGTTTCGTTGTAGGGTCTGTTTGTTTGAATGTTTTACGGAAGTAAGCCAAGTGTTTGTTGCAACAATTTCTATTATTCAGAGTGCGTAGCATATTGACGGCGTTCAATAGGCTACTCGGCGCACATGGCTTTATCCGTTACCGCGGGGCTAAAAAAAGTTCTGCACAAATACATCAAATTACAACAAGATATTGGGCTGAACTTAAAGGGAGTCGTGTGCGATAAATCCCAAGGGCACAAGTCAACACTCCGAGGTTTTGAAAACGGAGTGTAAGTGCGAAAAGGAAGAGATGGAAGGCGGTACAAAGTTCGCCTCATCCACGATTATAAGCCATTGACCTTACTTAATAACGATGCGACCCGCAGTTAACTGCTCCAAAGTACACAGATATGAGCCCTTCTGCGAACAGTATAGACGTAGCGTACAATGGAATTAAGAATACGATTTAGCCTGTCGAAGCCATAGATATACATATATATATATATATATGTATGTCCTTGATGAAGCTAGGACGCATTGAACCGATTTATCTGCAACCTGCATTTGTCTGTCTAAAAGCAAGTGCTTTATTCTTTTTTCTCCTGTCGCTAGCCAAAAAAAATATTAATAACAATAATGTTGGAAATAATGTAATTGCTATGGTAACCGACAAAGTAAAACATTAAAAATGCCTAATGTGACAAAAGTAAGAAAAATGATTATTTTTATCGGAGAAGCAGTCTCAGTGGAAAAGTACGGAATCGGCTTAAATATTATTGAAATAAATTAAAGTTCGACTCGTTTGTGTTTTCCATATGTGAAAAAATTGTATTATTGATGGCGGAAGTTTATATTATTGGACAAATATTGAAAGCTATTGATTTTGAAGCACCGCATATCTATTGCAAGTGGAGTCTGCAGTCCGGTAAAATACCATACGTATAATAAAAAAAATAGTATTACACAATAAGGAAGATATATTCCCTAAAACTGTCAGGTAGTGCTTGGCGAGTTATAGAAGGTGACGCTCTGGGTCAAACCGTAATTGGAAATAATAGTTTAGAAAACTCTTCGGACTTTTGTCATCCGTTGGATTTGCATTTGGGAGCAGCTTCCGTGCAGGGTTGGCCTAAGTTACATGTCGAATTGCATGCAGTAAATGTTTTGAATAAAAGCTGGCCGATCGGTTACGGATTCGCACACATTCCTGCGCGGCCAGGATATCATCGTTTAGAGATAAGAACTTGGAAAATTGCCCCGACCAGTTGGTACGATAGTATAAGAGAAAAATTCGGTGGCGGTGGCTTGGCTTTATGCAAAGAAGATTTGATCTACACGGGAATCGAAAGGTACTATTAGGGATAATGTACAATGCGAGCAAAGCACGATACGTTTACATTTTTTATTTTATTTTTTTTTTTCAGATATAAGTTAAAGACTATATCGTCCGGTATAGTTATAGTCGATATAAATTTAATATTATATAATTTTGCAAAATTTGGTGTAGAATTCAGCTAATCATCGGCATAGATCATGCACTTCGTCTTGTTATTAGTTATGTTTATTTCTTCCTCGAAGGCCGTAAAAATAATCCTATCTAATACGGCAGCTACTACCGCTACTACAGCTATGACCACAACTGTAGAATCGGCGTTCAACACTCACCATACAACTGAGGATGGTGACGATCTTCTAATTAACACAGCAACATCCACTTTTCTCCTAAGTACCGTTACCGAAAATGTATGGCCAGAATTTCCTCCAAAAAAAGCCACCGAAAAATATGCCGCGACTTCGACAACACCGAGTACTACAACGCAATCGCAGCCCATTGAGGTGGCTGGAAACAGGAACGAGACAACAAGGGATTTAATAAAAGATGAGAGTTCTGAAAAGTATTCCAGTGCTTATTGCTTTTGTGATCTGCGTTTAGATGAATGTGATATAAATTGCTGCTGTGATCCCAATTGTCATCCAATGGTATTTAAAAGTTTTGTATGCTCACAGGACCCTTTATTCGAAAAGACGTACAAAGGGCGTTTCGAAAATTTCAAATTACATCAAGGATTACCGACTTGTGAACAAGAGAACAGTTGGTTATGTATCTTCTGGTCCAATGCCCATAAGCATAAGGAACAGGAAACTGTACGTGAACTTCAAACCGTATTTGTTTTAATAATCAAGTATAATATTTTCAGGTAAAAGCCATGCGTTACGATACCTCGCAGTATTACTCTTGGCCAAATATATTAGAAGAGAAAAGTGAAGAAGAGGCTCATGACTTTTTCAAATATGGCGATCCATTGCAAATTGTAAACATCAACACTAGCTATGTAGGAAACTTTGGTGAGACAGAATGCTGGAAAACATGAAATGGCACAAATAATTTTTCCCGTTAACAGATCTACCGTCTAACTTTGAGTCTCCTTATTGTCGGCACCAAGAGCCATTGCGTCATTTAATGGCTTTTAAACGGAGTTGTATAATGGCACAATACGAAGAGCTGATCGAACTGCAAGAATCGTTTACAAATTTCAATCAAAGTGCAAAAATCCTAAGCAAACCTGAAACCAACAACAACTTGAAAAATTTTACAACTGACGCCGCAGAAGTTCGAATAGTTGTTTGTAATGTAACCTTGGACGCATGTATTCCCAACGCAGATCAAATGCGGGAAAAGGGAAATCTCAAACATGTTCTACTGTCTAAAATTAATATAAAAATATTGCATAATTTTACGCACATATCAGGGTCCGTCATCGAAATGTGGTATAAGAACGCGGACTTTGACGAGAATACAAGCCCAACTATGGACTTATGGCTCAATATAGAAGTTGATTTTTACAATAGAAGCATAGAGGAAGTACTTTACAATGGATTTAGGGAAAAGACAAAAATTATATCCGGTCCTTTGGGTTATCTAATGGATCAGCCTGTACTTGTGGCAAAATATATGCCCTACACCTTAAGTTTGCCTCTTGCACCTGATAATCGCATATTAAATTACTTCCATGAGACCGCTGAAACGAGTAACACATTGGCTGTACTAAGAAGACATAATGGCTGGTGTCATAGGGATAAGAGTCCCCAGAATCTCGTACACTTTGGCATAAATCTAATGATTTCTTGCAAAATGCGGTTGAGCGACGATATTCTTCGATACAAAGAGCCGGGGAAAATGAATTTCTCTTCTCTCTGTGTACATCTGAAAGAGCAAGCACAGTACCAACTAATTGGTAGTGACCTAAATCAAGAAGATTTAGACAATTATTTTGTATCGGTATTGGGTAAGCCTCGTAATCAAAGCAGTAACTGGTTGCCACTACAATTGTACAACTTTAATTTTAATCCGGCAGTGGGGCAATACAATGAACAAACAAACTCTTTTATATGTCACAACATTCAGTTAAGTCTCTCATATGAATTTTACATGGCTACGGAACATTTTGATGGAATACCACATCAAAATACAATTAAGCGAGCTGCTATCGCTATGGGACAACGTCATGATTTGGAATTCTCCCTAGATGAGAACATAGAAGTTCCGCTAGTCACAACCATTCGATTTTACGATGCAAATGCTCTCGCAGCATCAAAAGGTAGCAATATTAAGAACTTGTTTAATGTAATCCTAGTAATAATAATTTTCGTTTAATATTCATTTAATTCATCGTCAACAATATTAATATTAATAAACTCCTTAAAAACAATTAGAAGAACATTAAACGTGAATTTAAACACAAAAGTTACATAGAAAACCTAACTCACTGAACTAAACTCTTCTTCTTTAATCTGTTTAAACCATTTATTCGGTTTGTAGAAACGATGTCCTTTTCCACTTTTACATACCAGCACAGGCGATAATTGTCTAAAATTATCCGCATTTTCGAGCTTAGCTTAAATTGCCATTGATTTTTTATCCGACGGATTTTATCGACCAATTTTTTTACTGCACGGATATAATTTTTAGTTCTTTTTTTCTTTTCGTTTGCACTAAACCATTATCTTCTTTCTTATCTTTAAATAGATGCTGAAAACCTTGTTCTGGAAACATAACCAGAAAGCAATCTCCTAAGATAAGTTGCAGCAATTGCTTGCACCCTAAAACATGCAGCCTCTCATCTATTGTCTCACAGATGGTAGTAGTAAGGAAATTTTACTTCTTTGATAATTTTCAAAAAATAAATCAACAGTTTTGCAGTTAGAAGTATTATGAAAAGTTCCAATAAAGATATATTTTTGTAAATGTTCAATCACTATCCGGCCTTTACTCTCCATAGACATAACATAATATTCCGGAATATAAGGGCATCAAATTTTTCTTGATTTTTTGTGATCGCTCGTCCGCTGGGTTCGCTAAATGTTGAAATTCAGTTATACTGAGATTTTTGAAGTTAGTCGAGATTTTAAGCCCAAATGCGTACATCGTTTCCTGCGGATATATTAATTAGTTACTTTTGCTAGTATTCGTTTATATACTTACAAAGAACTTTAAGCTATCTTCCGTTAATCACATTCATTGCAGTCATTATAACACGCAGATAATAAAACTTCCTTTATAAGTAAAACTTTAAACGCGTCCAGTATATATCCAAGCGTGAAACTTCTGCCAGCCAAGGATATTATCAATTTCTCCACTTCGATCACTGCATCTCATTCTAGTAATTTACACATATATATTATGACTGATATATTGATAGGAATTTTTAAGTTTATTTGATAATTCCTTTGTATGAGCAATTTCAAACTCCACACCTTTCCCAGTTTCCACTTGCTTAGCTTCCATGAATGAATCAATATACCTTCCTTCGTTATTTTTAGACAGATTATGTTCATGAAGAGGAATAACATCGAGATTTAATTCACCTTGGATTAGGACTGCAGGATGAAAATGACGAACATACAAATTCAGTTAGGGATGCTGTTGTGACAACGCTTGAGTCCGTCTGTGAGTCAAGTCTCATCGTAAACCTCTGCATTGAGGCAAACAACGCTTCTCCAACAAGTTCTTCAGAATCATAATATCTTCAGAAAATAAACACAAAGCGAATCTTTAAAGTTTCTAGAAATTTTAATTAAATCTTTCGTTGTGGTTATTTTGCTTACACACAATACGCGTCATATCCAATTTGTAGTATTCTTTTATTGCAGTTTAAAGGTAAGTGGAATTTTTTAAAAAAGTAATTTTCCTTCAAAGGGTTCCAGTGCCTTGTATAATTCCTAAAAGAATATTCACTTTTTAACGGCATAATCATTTCAGCTTTCTATTCCCTGGGCAAATCCCAACGATCTTTGCAGAACCATAGTATTTAGTTAACTTACATTTTGCTTTGTGTAAACAAAACAAATCTTCTTCTTCTATCTTTTTGGTTAGTATTGAGAAGTAATACTTTTAAATCAAACCTCCTTAAAATGATGTAGGACATACATTCGAAAATTGTATAGATAGATTTTAGAAGGCGTTTAATTCCTCATTTCAAAAGCAAATAGTATTTTTAGAAAGAACTAAAAACTTTAAGAAATCTCCGAGAAAAAACATTTAGTTTCGAAAAATGTTGGAAATAACCAGATGTTCGAGATCTTTGACTGCCACTTTTAAGGGAACAACGTGGTTACAAAAAGCCGTGCAAGGTATTTCGTTTTATTTTTCCAGTTCTTAACATTCCCAAAGATTACAAATTGACAAACGATTATATTGAGACTAAATTTTTTTGTTTTCCTAAAACTATCTTCAGCTTAATATTGAGTGTGTCAGAAGACGAAAAAGTTGTACTCAATGCGAATCCGGAAGAATTTCAAATCACAATGAATGAGATATTCAAAAAGAGCATGGAAAAGACAAATGCAGTGCGTCTTCGATACAAGTGACGGAAAATATTTTAGAATAAAAGCATCATAAGGAGAAAGTACGTATCATTTCAGCACCAATCATAATTATCTATTTTGGGATATAGTTGAACCTATGAAGACATGTAAGGTCTAACGCCATTAAGCATTAGCTCTACAAATGCGTTATTCCTATTTTTGGGACGAAACATCAACTTGGCGTTTTACGACATCTTGTGGGAATTTGCAGAGAAACAAAACAAAAGAGAAAATGAAGAAGAAGATTACCCACTTATTTTAAATGTTGAAAATATTTACTAATTTAAATTTATTTTGTACAGTTTAATTTTTTTTTTCAACACTTTCTATGCAGTATCTGAGTATATGAGATGATATGAATTGAAAGTGACCTAAACTTTTTAAACAAAATGCCTACAACGGGTACACTTTTATTTTGAGAATAGAAAAAATCAGCCTCACCCACTCGCTATTATGGAGCATCAAAATTTAGTTTCTTTCAAATTTTTTAGGGTCAAGATAATGAGTACAAAAGGTTGATCACAACCGAATATAATTTTTTTACTTGTTATATTTTGCGATTTAAAGTTTTAGTTTATTTTATAAAAAACGAAATATATACTATTATACTATTATACTATATTATTAAAAATGAAAAGCAGGCAACAAAGGGCATTTATTTTTAAATTAAAGTACATTTGTCAAGTCAGTTTAGCTAATCATTTTGCTTTTTTTTTAAAAGCGATAAGAAGTAAACAGACTATATGTCAACATAGGCAAAGATGTATGGCTTTTATATCGAGAAATTTTACAAAAACTTCATAAGAAAAAAAAATGTTAAAAACAAGTATGAAAGTAACAAAGTTGTGAACAAAAGTAGTAATTAATTCTCTACTTCATTAATCAACCAAAAACTGACTTGTTTTTACATCAATGTGCTTAACGTTGCTTTTCATATATATATGTTTACATTTAAGCCGATGTCTTCATTTTTACTTTTGAAAATGTTTCTGCTTACGTTTCCATATTTACAACTTTTAGAATGTAATTTTTAAAATTATCACCATTAATTCCGATTGATTTTTTATCTGACGGATTTCATCGACCAATTTTTTTTTTAATGTATAACAATTATTTTCTTTAATTTCTACCATATGAAACGAATCAAATTGATGTACCCCCCATTCAATGGATGTTTTCAATATCCTGATACTATGGAAATACAAAACTTTGGGTTTGTTTTGCACAGATCTTCAGAGAACTCCGGGTAACTTTGCATTTTAAAACACCCTGTTAAGTTGAAGCGGTTGGTTGGAAACTAAAACTTGCAGCCCCTTATCCATGGACTTGTAGGTGCAGTTGTTGGAAGTGAGATTGTAATTCTTCGAAAATTTATAACTCTCTCCACTTATATTTTTTGAAGAAGAATTTAATAGTTTTGTAATTGGAATCTTATTCAGAGAAATATCCTCACAAGCTTTTGGTTTTTTAAAAAATTAAAAAAATTAAAAAATTTGTAATCAATCAATCGCTATCCGAAAAGCACTTTTTACACCCACAACATCGCGGAGTCTAAGAACATCAAAATTTTCTTGTTTTGTGTGATGACTCGTCGACAATAACGGTTCGTTAAATATCGAAATTCATTTATACTGAGATTTATGAAGTTGGTTGACATTTTAGGCCCAAATGCGTCCATCATTCCCTGCGGATATTTAGATTAGTTTCTTTCGCTAACATTCATTTATATACTTACAAATAACTTTAAACTATCTTCCGTTATTCACACTTATTGTAGTCATTACAGCACGTAGATCATAAGGTAATTTGAAAATTTCCATTGTAAGTGTAAGCCTTCTGCCAGCTGAGGATCTTATATTTCCAATTTCTCCTTTTCGATCGATCACTACATCCCATTCTCTCACTTGCTTACCGTCCACAAATGAATCAATACATCTTCCTTCGTTATCCTCAGACATATTATGTTCTTCAAGGGATATAACATCGAGATTTAATTCACCTTGGATAAGGACTGCAGTATGAAAATGACCAGCATACAAATTCAGTTAGGGATGCTTAAGACCGCTTTTACTGCGCGGAAATCTTTGAGCCAAGTTGAATCGTAAACCCCTGCATTGAGGTAAACAACACTTCTTTGATGCTCTTCCTGAGCAAAAACAAATCGGATAATTACATTTTTTTTTTTTTTGGATGTTGAGTTAGGTTGGACTAAGCGAATAAAATTTGTGGCTTATACGTGCAAGGAAACATTTTGCTTGAACTGTACTATTTAAATAACTTATATTTTGCTTTGTGCAAACAAAATAAGAATTCTTCTTCTATTTGTTTGCCATGTATTGAGAAGTAACAACACATATAAATTTCATCATTTTAAAAATGACTTAAGACACACTTCAGAAAATTATGTAGAATTTAGAAAGCTTTCAATTATTCATTTGAGAAGCAAATAGTATTTTTCAGGAAAAGAAAAAACTATCAGAAAACCCGGAGAAAAAAAATATATTTTCGAAGAATCTGAAATTTAAAAAACGTTGAAAATGGCCAGACGTTCGAGACCTTCGACTGCCATATTCAAAAAAGCAACATCGTTACAGAAAGCTGATTCAGCGGAAATCCGCCGTACGAACATTTACTCGTCGTCAATTTTAAAAGCCCGTGCCGAGAGTATTGAGCGACTTAGCATTGAGGAACCCAGAACTTGCCAACAGAGCGGTGCGAGCGCCTTGTATACAGAATTAAAAGTTAAAAATGAACAATTGACACCGCATTCCCATGTCATTGAGACGGCGCAAAAATGGTTGAATTTGGAGGGGAAAAATAATCGTATGCATAAATTCCCTCTAAAAACCATTTTACCGAAAGTTCAAATGACTCGTGTAGTGCTAAAGAAGCATTTGCCCCGTGATGTCGAAGTAGAACGTCGAAGGAAGCAATATGCAAAAATCAATTTGGAAGCAGAATTTGAGAAAGCAAGCTTGACTGCAAGCGAGTTAATGCCCACCGAAGAACAATATTACATACTATCAGAGAATGCTTTTGAGCATTTTTTGCCTTTAAGTTTTTTTGATGACTCCAATTATGATACACATTCCCCCACAGCCTGGCTAAAATTAGGACAAATTGAAAGTGGCGAATTTTACCCTTTACCCGCAAAGGCATTCCTGCCGGTAAATCAGAGTTTAATGGACTATCAGTGGCAATTCGCAGCTATCCAAAGCTATGACGACGACACTGGTAAATGGACAGCTATGAACTTATCAGATGAGCACGTGTATGAAGTACCTAAAGTACAAGTCATGTTTATGGCCGAAAATCCATATATTTTTGTTGAGCGCCTGAAGAAAGCCGTGCAGGTACGTAATGAGGCCGAGACTGTTATCATGCTGGAAACCATAGTTGACTGCGTAATGCTACAAGATTTAAGCGAGCTACGTATTTATCCTAATAAGTTGGTGGATAGGCTGATGAGTAAAGTAAAAACGGATCCTACATTTTTTAATCAACTTAATACGGAAATCTATTTAGTTTTCGAGCATTTAATGGCCTGCTACGAGTTTGAAAAGTTCGTTAAATTGCTGCCCAAGGAGTTTCCAAAATTTACCGGCGACGTAATTCGAAGTTCCTTGCCAAAGGCATTTCCTTCAATACTCAGCGACAGCGAGCGACGCTTGGTTAAAAGTTTAGATATAAAGCTAAAACAAAGGCGTACGAGCGTCTTAACATATTCACTTTATTATACTAAGGGTGGCATAGAAGCTATGCAGAATGTAACTCAGGAATGTAAACATATTGAAACGATGACGTTATTTTTGATTAATTTTGCAAAGCCTTTGTTTTTAAATGATTTCCTGCAAGCTCAAGATCAAAACAGTTCACATGTTTCTAATTATCTGAAGTCGTTTTGGCCTTCAAAAATTTCCGCAGGCGTGACAATTGTTTTAAGAGCCTTAGGTAAAGGCTGGTTGGACATAACTCTGGACAAATGGAGCGTGTATCAAATGTGTAAGATTTCTCGCTTTATTCTGCAAGTAAAATTCCGCATGCAAGAATCTATGCATGTTTTATTGGAGAAATCGATATCAAATTTCACGCAATTCCTTTGCGACCCTTGCATGCAAATGCTTAACATTTCCAACGATTACAAATGGACGAACAATTATATTGAGACTGAATTTCCGTTTCCTAAAGCTATCTTCAGCTTAATATTGAGTGTGTCAGAAGACGGAAAAGTTGTATTCAATACGAATCCGGAAGAATTTCAAGTCGCAATGAAAGAAATATTCAAAAAGAGTTTGGAAAAGACAAACGCAGTGCGTTGCATAGACGCGGAGACATTGATCAATTTAAGATTTGCCCCCAATCTTTTCATACTCACTGTCGAGCTGATAGAAGAATTGTATTTGGAATGTGATGAGCTTATGCAGAGATGTTATGCAAAGGCGGTTATACCACTAATCTCTTATTCCCGTAAATATGATCATTATGTGGATTTCTACCTGCTTAACGTGCAACAGTATATGCAAAATTACAAAGCAGCGAAAAAGTCTTCGATGCAAGTTAAGACCGATATTTTGGAACACAAGCGTCAGAAGGAGGAACTACGTGTCACTTTGCCGCCAACCATAATTATCGGCCCATTTTTAGTTATAGTTGATCCGATGAAACAGCATATGATACGAAAAAGGATAGAAATTGTTAAAAAAATTTTTGAATATTATGTAGATCGTATGTATGATATCAACGAACATTTGATAGAACGGTGTATGGATATTTATAATAAAATACATGAACGACCACAAAGTATAGAACATCTGTACGATATACGAGAATTCGCTCAAACAGTGCCCGAAGTAGTGGATCAGGTTAAAGCCGATACACAAATTATGGTCCTGGAATACGACATGTTAGATTCTTTTTTCTACAATTTGCCTGATCATCAATTTGCTATGAAGTGGGAGGCTGTTGCTTGGCCAAGGACTATCATAGAGCGATTGTCTACGTTAAGAGAAGAGCAAAAAGTCGACATTGAAGATTTCAAGAGACTGCACTTAAGCGAATGCATTGGTTTCGAAGAACGCCTAGAATCATTAAATGACGAAGTTCAGGCCTTCTCGCTAATGTTCATTCCTGAAAAGGTGCTGGAAACAGCTAATGACGTAAGCAGTACAAGATAATATTTTGCGAGTATACAAATTTACGATTTTTTTCTTTCGAGTTACAGATTAAGAAAACATGGAGAACTATTAAGGATTTGGAAAAATTGGGTGAAACTCTCAGCTATCGTCAAGAGCTTTTCGAATTGGAGCCATTATCATTGGATTTTCTAAACAGTATTATTGAGAGTTGTACCCCATACAAGAATCTTTGGTACAGTTGTCTAGATTTAGTCAAATTAGAAGAGGCCACTATTGGCAATCCGTTGGTTAACGTTGAAGTGGATGAAGTTTGGAAATCCTTGGAGACTATAAAAGAGTCCCTGGAAAAATCGTTAATAGTGTTTGAAGAAAAACCGGAAATACAAGATGTGGCCACTTACTTTCTAGCCCAATGGGATATGTTTATACCTAAAGTTAGAGCCATTGAAGATATGAAAAATGAAAATTGGCTTTTCTTGCATTGGCAAGAATTAGCAAATCGTTCTGGTTTGGATATTAAATATTCTTTGGCTATGAATTTTCAATATCTGATGCGCAAGGGTATAATGGATCATTTGGACTTGGTTCATGAAATTGCAGTAAAAGCTGTAGATGAAGCAGATGCCATACGTCTGGCTATGGAAGAAGAGGAACGACGTAAGGAAGAAGAACAGCAGGCTTTAATTCTACGCAAGGCAATGCGTAAATGTCGCACAGACATCCTGTAATGAATTGATATAAATTTTTTTAATTCGCTCTTTTTTTTTTTTTTGCCTTTTTTACTAATATAATTCTGCTATTTTTATAAATAAACAATTATTTTCATGAAAACATGCATACCGGAGAATGCCCAAAATATCGCATAACCTGGGCCAAAGTTAGAAAACTTAATTTACTTATCAAAAATGTTATTAATTTTTGGTTTCCGTCATACAAGAAAAAGTGGATATTGTACTTTTTCTCCATACAGGGTATTGTTTATCATGATAACCCTATGTATGTTAGAGACTAATGTGTAGACTTATGTGATCCCAACTCCCTACCATTAATATTTTTGCTAAATTTGCTACTATGGATTAATTCTTGTCGTAATATAAAAGGAATTCAATGTTTTTCTGAAGAGCTTATTATTCATGAGATACCACCTTATGCGGAGCAGATTTCAAAAAATAAACCCATTGGATTCAAATAGGGTCCATTTAACTTTTACGCCAAATTAATATCGTGAACAAATTTTTATTATAAAGCATTAGCAATTAGTCCTCTTTGGCAGAACCCTTACAAGCAGTGAGAGGAGGTCCAAAAAATTACCCCAGCCGAACCAAATTTTTTACACAACACACGCTGAGTTTTGTCGCGAAATATTGAAAATTTGGAATTTTTTTGGAATTGTTGAAAAAACGGGCAAAATTGACGACGCCTAGACAATGTTATTGTGTGTGTATCAAAATTTAATTTTTTGTCAATACCTTTATAACGCGTAGAAAAAAACTGCAAATGTGCCATAAAGTATATAAATTCTTGACCAATTATGAACTGGAAATGGACCTAAGCATGTTCGTCTGCCCATTTGTGCGTCTGCCAATCTGTTCATCTGCCAATCTGTCCGTTTGCCCATCTGCCTGTTTGTTCGTCTGTCCATCTATCCGTCCGCCCAACTGTGTAGTAACCAAGTTGAACATTCGCAAGATGAAGATGCCAACTAGAAATTTGCAAAAGACTTTGGAAGTGGTCCAAACAGGTCGAACAACTCGCCTACAACGCCCATAGACACGTCTATATAACCAAACCCTTAGTTTGCCTATTTTTTGCTTGTTGCTTTTAAACTTCAACAACTAAGCGATATAAATTTCCATAAAATTCTTCTAAAAATATAGAAAAAATCACTCACGCCCAGCCAATACTATAGAGTGTGAAAATTTAATTTTTTTTCTTACAGTAAACCTGTTTTAGGATACCAGTGCAGCGGATTAAATGATTCGTTCACAACCGAATGTAATTTTCTTACTTGTTGATTTTCCATTTTCCCAATTGACAATTACTTGTCCATTTCTGTATGATAGCTCCCGCATACTTTCTTTACAGTTTTGCTTAAATTGTTTGTCCTTTTTATATATTTTCAAAGCGAGGTGTTATATTAAGTGCACTCTACCGATTTTACCAACTAGAACTATCGATCAAAGATTCCGATCCGTTAGTTTGTTCTTTGCATGTCAAGTTCGAATAAATATTGGAAAAGATTCATGTCGATATTTAATGAGATCAAATTCAAAGGAGGAAGACATTTCTCTAAAAAGTTTTAGACTTGAAAACGATGAAAATTCGTATACGCCTGTCCCTTTCCATCATGTTGACGCTTGCCAAGATCCTTCGGGGGGAAGCTTGCACATTTAGATACATGTGGAAATCGCGGTGGAAACTAGTATGTTCTGTCCCCAGTTTGAACGCATGTGTGAGTCCTGACTGCTTGGTACGGCCTTGAGGCGGGTATCGTGGTGGTTGTGGCTTCTATCAATCCTAAATTATTAGAGGTAATGATAGGCCTCAACACTGGGTTTATTGAGCCATACACAATAAAAATAAATATCTGGTTTCTCCGGTGTAGTTCAGGCCCTTAGTTAATAGGGATTCTTTAACTCTGCGGAGGTCGCCGGTTATGCAAAATTAACCTGTGTGTTATCGGGCACCGCGGCACCGATAGTGGCCGGTAGAAATGTCTCCTGCTAATTAGTACTGGTTCAGATCGATGCAGTTGTGTTGAGCAGGTCAGCGGCTCTGCAAAGATAAAGAATTTTATCAAAAAATTCACAGAATTTATTAGTGCACCTATTAAAAGGAAGATGATCTATTTAAACTATCTGCCACTGCATTATGGGAATCGAAAGTGAACATTAGCATTGATACAACTTCTAATAGATTTACATCACATTAATGCTTGAAAACAATTCTCGTCAGAAGTTCAGGACATGCGTTTTAAGTTTCTGTAAACGTCGTGAATTCATTTTAATCATTGGCGGTTTGAGGACAATGTTTAGTACTTACATCTGCAAAGATTTACATAATCAAATATAATATTTTTTTATGATGTTTGCTGAATCCAGTAATATTATCGTCCTTTTCTTTGGTGATAGTTGCACTTAACTGCATACGCTTGCCTATGTTGCGATTATATAGTAAACTGTTTGTAGTTGAAAAAACGATTCCTCCTAATGAAGCTGAACGTAAAGGTTTGCCTTCTAAAGTATATTTTCAATAATATATATTTTCAATAAGTTAAGCACTTCTCCTGTAGTTAAATGTATTATAAACAAGGGTAAAATCTTTTTTCAATACTTAATTACAATAAATTATAATATATTATATATAAATTTTTAATATAAAATTAGCCATTGTACGTAGAGTGCAGTTTGGTTTTTAGGAATTTATTATTATTATTATTATTATTAATTTCGCCACAGAAATAAATTCTAAGACTAAACTCTTAAAAGCACTAGCATCTAAGGCTATCGGCTTTTATTAGGAATTTAATGAAAAGCATTGCAGTCAACTTTGATGTAAACCTAAGTGGATAGAAATTTATTTCATTAGTATGCGGTATTTGAAATTGTAAACGCAAAATGAAGTAACGCAAAATGTTCGCAAGAAAGAATTTTGCTTGCAATGGATTTATATCAATACAATTGCAAAGGCAACCCAATTTCTTTCCAAGATTTATTTGAAATTTTCAGAAGGCATCTTTCGAAGAATTCTAAGGTTATCTATAAATGAATAAAATATCGTTAAATTAAATAAACGCAAAAATTATCGTACTCTTGGGTTTCTTCGTCTCCCGTTTTTTATTCAATCAATAATTATGTGCCGAGGAACATATGGGTTAGGGATTTGGACGTGTTATTTGATATCAGGTTCATTCTTCATATTGTGTCTTCTGTGAACAAACCTAAGTTAAGAGATGAATGAAAGAATTCAATGACTCGTATTTATGTAAAGTTCTTTATAATGTGATTGCGCGACACCTTACTATCTACTTCTTATTGATCGAATAGAGTCCGTTAAAAGAATTTCTCTTCTCTTTGTTTTAAGTGACTTGTCTTGGGATACCGTTACAATTCTCTCACCATATAAAAGTCGTCTTAACCTTATACGATTAACGTCTTCGTTTAAGAGAAGGAAAATGATCGGTATGATTGTTGTGGGTAAATTGATTCGTGTTTGGGTTTCCACTTCACACATATTAACTAAACTTTGTTTCGTTCTTAATCTTAACATTCCGAATCGGTCTCAGAAGATTATATATCCATAAGACTATCCCATTGCTGCAGCAATTACCTGCCGTTTCGTCCCCTCCGTTTCCTGGGTAAGTTATATAACAGTAGTTATTACCAAGTTGGTCCTGATTCCTTTAATGTAATCAATAATAAATTGTTAATGGCACTTGTAATCTATGAACTGTACTATGTACTATATAAAATTCATATATTGAAGTAATTACAACAAGAAAAAGTGGCGCACAGGACGCAACGAAATCTTGATTTTTTTTCGGTTAACAACTTTTAACCTGCAATCGATATTTATCTTAAGTTTAAGAGAATTTTTCGTTAAAGAGATTTACATTTTTTCTGTAAAAATAATGCCAATCCGTTACGTAATGTCATTGCAATATCTTATGAGACTTAATAATGTTGACGAAAACTATATTTAATGCTTGCTCTTAAACATTATTCTTGTTCTTATGAATGTCTTTATGGGCCCGCATTAATTCAATTATCTTAGAGCAATTTTACAGGTATCCTGATGTAATTATTCAGTAACTATACTGTTTGCAAACTATGCAAATTGAGTTAATTGTTAAACACAATTTGGCAAAAACATCTGGATATAATTATGCGTATATCCGTCCGCATACGTACCCGGTACACTGGTGTTAAAAAGTATACACGCACTTCCAAAACGTTTAAGAATTTTTAAGATAAAATGATGTTTAAAGAAAAAACATTGTACGTATAGAGACGTTTACGTATATGATATTGTCCATGGAAAATGGATTCAAATTTTGGATACATCTTATGGTCCGAAGGTAACAAAAAATATTTTTTCAATAAATCGTCTTTGAATTCGAGGTACGTGAGGTACGGCAACAATAGTTCAGATGCAACTAATACGAACGATTGCGTTAACGAGACGAGCGATAGTACCGAGAGTGAAGGTAAACTGAATATTGCTGCTACGAGTTATATTAACGAAGAAATAAAAATTTTGATCCGAAAATTACATTAAAACAACCAAATTTGAAGTGCGTTTTATCGTCCTGTCTGTCTTACACTCCAAAAAACACAATAATATATACTTAGCTATAATATAAATCAAAACAATGTGTACCTTGTTATATCGAAACCAACGAACTAAAAGTAAATAAAGAAATGAAAAATTAAATTAACTTTCAATTTTTGTACGAGAAGATAAGTAAAAGCGCTACAGTTGGCCACGGTCTACCATTAACCGATTTTATCAGTATTCGTCAAAACACCTCATTATGCCAAACTTCATGAAAATATCTCAAGGACTGCGACTTGTATGTATACACCGGAATACAAGACGGACAGGCAAGTTTAATTCGATTCTGAATCGATTGACATAATAGAAAGTAGGTCTACCTTAAGTCCCTCTTGAGTTGCACGAACAAGTCTTGAGATAAAACGACCTATCAGCAAAAGTTGTCCCTTTCAGC